ATATATATTAATTAAATATTAGAAATAATATTTTTATTAAATAATAATTATTTTAAAAATTATACTAATTTAATAAAATTAAACATTTATTTAATCAAATAAATATTACATTTAATATAGAAAAATATTACATCTAATATAAAATGATACAAAAAATAAAATAAAATAAAATAACAACACAAATGTAAAATTCTATATTGATAGTAATTTAATTTTCCGAATTAGTATGTTCTTCCCACAAATGATCAATTAATGTATTTCGAAGAGTATGGTGAGCCTCTGTATCCTTGATTTGTTTATGTCAAGGATCTCAGAATAACTTTAGTTATTTTCAATATTTTGATGATCTTACTAGATCCGGAACTAATCTACCAGAGTACTAAATTGTTATTTTAGTTTATGGTGTATTTTATTTTAATTTGAGTGTTTTTAAATTAGTATTAATTTTTATTTTGAGTTATTATAGTGTAATATTTGCATTGAATAAAGTTTTATTTTTAATTTTTTATCATTTTTTAAATTATATCATTATTATAAATTTACTATTATAAATAATAATCAAATTAAATTAAATACAAATATTCAAATTAGTATGATTTTTGATGTAAAATTTAATACTCAAATTAACTTAACAAAATTAAAAACAAAAAAACAAAAAAAAGCAAAATTAAAAAAAAATATATATATTTTTTTTCTCGCTAAGTGCTTTGGCGTGGGTTGGAGATGCCCTTATCCATCATTTTCATCGTCATCATTTCCGTCCATTTCAGTCTTTTTCGGCGTTCGAAATCATCCCTGGCTCCCTGCCACCACCAATTGACTCCCCACAACCCACTCTACAAAACCCTTACCTCTATCACCGTCCTTGCTTGCGGATCGCCGGCCGTGAACCGCGTGACCCTTGAACTTCCAAGCCAATTTCCGATGGTTTCTGGTGTTGGAAATCGTCCCTGCCACCACCAATCAAATCCTTGGATCTTCCTCTCCAAAAGCCCCAACATTCTCGTTCCCATTTGCTCACCAATTGCCGGCGATTGAAACTTTCCCACCCTAAGGTTTTTTGAGTTTTGATCGATTAATTGGGTTTGGTTCATTCAGTTTTTGTGTTAGGTTGAGGCCAGTCCTCCTAATATAACTTCTGTATCACCATAACTGTCGTCTGATTATTTCCATGCTCTCACCAGAACGCTTGCCACAAATGGAGCAAACTCCCTAACAAATAATTATCTTGATCCTGCATTTGAATTGCACCAAGAAATTTGAAACTAAATAACTGAATTGTAAATTTGTTATAATTTTAAACTTGCAGTTGCGGAACAGACTAGCCATGTTTTGAAGGAGGATAAATCGACGGTGCCATCACGAATGCTGAGGATGAAGGGATGCCGAGTCGCTCCAGTGTAGAGGAGACGGTGCTTCCTCAGCCACGTGTCGATCATCCCGCTCTTCTCCAAGTCTTCTCTTCCATTTTTTTTCGAGTAATACTACACATACATCATTTTCATACATCATTTTCCATACAATATTATGTGGCAAGATATGATTGGTTAATTTAAAGTTAAAATTAAACTTTTATTCAATCACATCTTGTCACATAATGTTGTATGAGAAATATTGTATGAGAATGATGTATATGTAGTATTATTCTTTTTTTTCTGATGTGTTTCTTCTGGAACAGAAACTGAAACAGAGCTGAGTTTTAGATTATGGGTCTCAAAAAACTTTATAAACAGAGAGTGGACCAGGCCCAAACACGTGGTGCATCTGCAAGTCAACAACTCAAAAGCTCGGGATCTTATCACAAACTTCTTGATTTGTCTAATGGGCTTGTTTTCAGGCCATTAATAATGTGAATTCATGACAACGTATGGCTTATACATTTCTGTGCCTCTGGTTCATTCCAGAGGAATTTCATCCACAGAGGCTAAAGCGCAGGGCCAGGAAACAGATAATTTGAACATTACGGAAACAAGTAAATCTATGGGAAAAATTGTTCTGAAATCTTTCATAATTAGGGAATATACTCTCTTCATTGCAGATAGAAAGAAAAAAGGTTTTGATACAACTTATAAGTTAACTATTTCAAGGTAGATTTGATTATTGATACAACTATCAGAAATCTTGGACACCCACAAAACAAAAAAAAAATTTGACAGGCTATTTCAAGAGAATACCAGATTCATATTACAAATCCTTCCCTTCCCTTATCTTAATGAAACTTCCAAACAGAGAGAGAAAGGTGTGGTGATCCCTTCCATCCAACAATTAGGCTTTTTCCATTTTTCTCAAATGTGCAAGATTTGCCTTTCCCACAAGCAAAATTCTTCACAACTAGTTCTGCCTGATACAATGACGACATGCTAAGCTCTGTTTCAACAAGCCCAAAACTGCTGAAAAATGCCCTCCAGTCATCAATCTTCATGTGCCTAACAATCCTCTCCTCGCCCTCATTTGCAATAATGTTTCTAATAGCCTGACCCAATAATTCTTCAACCATCATCCTGTTTTGATCACTTCGCGACATACAATCTTCCATGCAATCAAAAGAAGTACTGTAGTAAAAAAGAATTTCAAAAAACCTGTCTTCAAAAGATAGTAAATTATCATTTGCTTCAATTTCAGTGACCACCATCACTTGAGGATTAGTATTTTTAAGCACTCTTATTACAGACTCCAAGCAATTGGGCAATCTAATCATATGATTTAGTGTAATAGAAGAGTGGATAGCTACAACTTCACCCTTGTGTAATTCAAATAAGTTCTCATTGAGATCTTTGAGGCTGGTCACCATAACAACTTTGAATGAAAAGGGTAAATTTAAAGTCTTAGCAAAGTATGCCAACGTTTTGCCTGTCTCCTCAATTTCATGCCTCAATGTCGTTCCAACTGCAGTTATTGTAAGAAGCTCCACTTGAGGTTCATGTTGAGTTGCAAGAGCTTGCATCAACAACATACATTGTGCTCCACTTCTGATTTCAAGGTCAATCAAATGAACTCTTTTTGCCGCGGCCACGCTCTCAATGATTGCTTGCATTCCTGCAAACCGAGTAGCTTGATAGAAGGGGAGTTCTAAGAAAAAAACAAGGAGAGCAGGTTTCAAATTTACCACCATCACTTCTGGATATAACAACATATTTTCTTCACCTTTCGCTCCCTTTGATGTGATTCTCCCAGTTTCTCGATCAAACTTCTCTCGAAGAGCTTCAGTGAAATAGTGGACAATTCTTTGAACTGAGGAACCATATTTGGAAGAAAACTTTTCACACTGGTTTAGGAATGTGCTAGCACTATCAAATTGTAGGCTACCAATTTTCTCAGCAGAAACTAATAGACAATGCACGAGTTCCACATCTTTGACGTCCTCTTCAGACAAATTTCCTGGAATACTGCCACAGAAACGGTTCAGCCAAGACAGATCAACAGAGCCTTGGGAATCAAATTTGAGATATCTTGCTATTGCAACCCTAATGACATCTCCAGTTGATAGTGTTCTGAAAGTAGCCATGATTCAAGTGTACGAAAGCTGGAATCTCTAAGAACTTCAAGCCTCTCTCTTGGTTTATTTCCTTGAGTGTTTTAAAAGAAATCTTAACTAGAAAATTTTCTTGCTATGATATTTTTCAGAGAATTCAATGATAGATATTATCACAAAACAAAGAGAAATTGGCCTAGAGGGGTAGATAGGGCTGTTTTCTTATGACAGTTAACAATACATTTATAATTCTGATTGTGACTATCTGCCTCTCCAAGAATCTTCCAAGAACAGAAAAAGACATGGACATCTTAGAGTTTATCAATATATAGTTGAAAGCTACATTGATTACTATGACCAGATTTGGACTATAATAGATATTTTCAGTCCTCCTCTTACAGAAAGCAGTTGATCTTGGAATATCAGATATCAATGACACAAAGATTAAAAGATAAGAGAAAAAGGTAAATTTTCTTTTTGCAAACTGTAATATGAGCAAGATTAAACCAGTGTATAATTCTAGCAAGCTCATCACAACATTACTGGTGTCCAGTTGTGAAATGCCGTTAACTGCTTTCTTTGGTTAAGGTAGTTGTTATTACAATGCTTATTCTTTTATAGAATATTCAGTTACAGCTTTTATATAAATATATATTAGAAAAACGATTTATTTCTTAAATTAATAAAATTTGAAAACATAATATTCACAGACAAAGAAGAATGTCAAACACGCCATCCTTGCATAATGACGATGAATTCAAATGCCCTCTGTTTTACTATAGCAACTAAAGTTAGGTGCTACAACAATCATGTGTAGAACTCACTTTAAAATCGGTTTTTCAGGAGAGGGTGTAATCCCATCAGGTTTGCCCACGGTGTGGTTCTCGGTATGCCTAGCTGACAGGACTTACTTGACACCTTTAGGTCCACGACAAGGGCCGTCCTTGGTGGGTGCCAATCCCTTCGATGTTTTTCTAGAGTGTGATCCTACTTTGATACCAATTGTAATAACCACAAATTGGTAGAATTCATCCTCAAAATCGGCTTGTAAGGGGAGGGTGCCTGCATGGTTATTAACCCACAGTTGAAGATTCTGAGGAAGATATCTGAAATCATCCAATTGCTTCTGTTGGAAATGAAATTCAGATTCCACCTTCTGTTGGATTTTGCATAATGTGACAAATGATGATGCTCCCTGATCTCAGATAATCAAGCGGGCGCTGTAACTATGTTTCGGTTTTACATTGATTCAGGATCTTTTCATGAATGCTTGGTTCAGCTGCATAAATGTAAGGGGTTTTTTCAGGTTTGGTTTGATGAAGGTTCTGAATTGTGATCAAAATCTCACGAGGCTCCAATTATTTAGAGAATATCTTAATGTCAACCAAAAGTTAATTAAAACTAATAAAACTATCAAGCAATAAATTTTTTATCAATACACACCTCAAGTAGCAACATACAAAAAGTGAAAGAAAAAAAATTTTAGAGTACATTCAAGAGAGCTCGAATTTATACTGAAAATCTATCTCTAGTCTTGATGAAACTTCCAAACAGAAAGCGAAAGTTGTGGTGATCCCTTCCATCCAACAATTAGGCCCTTTCCATCTCTGACTAATGTGCAAGAATCCCCTATCCCACCACCAAAACGCTTCTTTACTAGTTCTGCGTGATACAAAGAAGACATGCTAAGCTCTGCTTCAACCAGTCCAAACTTTTTGAAAATATCCCTCCAAGCACCAATCTTCATGTGCTTGACATTAATCTTCTCCTCACCCTCATTTACCATAATATTTAGGAGGCACGGACCTAAGAACGTTTCTTCAAACATCATCCTGTTCGGGTCATTTTCAGACATACAAACTTCCAGGGAATCAAACAAAGCACTGTAGTAGAAAAGTACCTCGAAAAAGAGTTCTTCAAAAGATGGTACATCATAGTTTGCTTCAACTTCGGTGACCACCATCACACAAGGATTAATTTTTCTAAGCACTCTTATTAGAGATTCCAAGCAATGAGGCTGCCGAACGATATGACTCAGTATAATAAATGCATGGACAGCTATAGCTTCAGCATCATTCAACTCAAATAAGTCTTGGTTAAGATCTTTATTATCTGTCACCATTGCAACTTTAAATGAAAATGGTAAATTTAAGGTCTCAGCAAAGTGTACCAAACTTTTACCAATCTCTTCAGTATCCTGCTTCGACATGGTACCGAAGTTAACTGCAGTTATTGTAAGATGCTCCAATGGTAGTTCGCGTTGAGCAAGAGCTTGCATCAGTACAGTGCATTGTGATCCAAGTCTGATTTCAAGGTCGATGAAATGAACTCTTTTCGCTGAGGCCACCCTTTCAATGATTGCTTGCATCTCTGCAAACTGAGTTGCAGGGTAGAAAGGGAGTTCTTGGTAACAGGCAATGAGAGCAGGTCTCAAACTCACCATTATCTCTTGTCGTAGCAGTGGCATTGTTTCTTTAAGTTTCACTCCCCTTGATGTGATTCTCCCAGTTTCTCGATCAAACTTCTCTCGAAGAGCTTTGCCGAAATAATGAACAATTCTCTGAACTGAGGTGCCATTTTTGGAAGAAAAGTTCAGACAATGATTTAGGAATATGCTAGCACAGTCAAATTGTAGGCTGCCAATCTTCTCAGCCGAAACTAGTAGAAAATACATGAGCTCCACCTCTTTTGTATCCTCTTCAGAAAATTTGTCAGGAACAGTGCTACAGAAATGGTTAAGCCAGGACACATCACCACACCTTTGACAAGAAAACTGAAGGTATCTTGTCATTGCAACCCTAATGACATCTTCAGTTGACAGTGCTCTGAAACTCATGATTCAAGTTTATTGAAGCTGGGATTTCTCAGAACTTCAAGCCACTTTCTTGGTTGTTTTCAGAGTTTGATGAACTCAATTTTATGTACTGTAATGTAGTTGACTAACCTCCTTGATATTATCACAGCGATGAGAGAGACTGGTCCAAAGGGATCAATAGGCCAGTTTTCTTGTGATTATAATAGTACATTTATAACTTTGATTTTGACTCTTTAAGTATATTCAATAACAGGAAAAGATGAGGAATTCTTAGAGATTATCGATAGCTCAAACCTATCTTGATCACTATGACAAAGACTTGAATCATAATTGACATTTTCAGCCTATAGTAAAATAAAATGTCAACGACACAATGGTTAAAACGAAAAAATTAAAAGAAATTGCCAATTTGAGCAAAGAACAAACCAAAGTAATTTGAGCAAAGAACAAACCAAAGTAAAATGTGAACGACATAACGCAGACTCTAATTTGAGCAAAGAACAGACCAAAGTAAAATGTGAATGACATAATGCAGACTCTGATTCGAGCAAAGAACAAACCAAAGTATAAACTAGAAGTATGTTTTTACTTCAAGCCAAAACAGAACAAACAAATGCTTTCTTTCATTTAGCTGCTAATGGCTTAATACGTAAACAATGTGCACAACTCTTCTCCACCATTCTAATGATGTACAATAATTCAAATCCTAGCTACGACATCGTTGTATCATCTCTCTTGATCACTTGCAACATCAGTTCTATCATATATTTTGTTTTCATAGTGTTATGATAATCAACATGGTATTCCTGAGTAGCTTGTTCTCAATCTCACTATTGTTCAAGCTCTTTTCATGCATGCTTGGTTTAGCTTGATAAATTAAGGCATTTATTAGTTTTGGGATTTTGGGTTTACATGATGAATGTTCTGAACTGGAATCAACATGTCATAAGGCCTAATGGTTCAGTGAATATCTTCATATCAGTCAAAAAGGTGAATATTAGAATTTATAACTAGGAAAACTGCCAAGCAAGAACTATATTTAACAAGTTTTAGACAAAAGTTAGCATAAACAGATCAAATGTAGCAGTGCATGACAGTGATCAGAGAATGAAAGTTAACGACCAATTTCAAGCATTTATCTGCACATCTCAGCTACTGCTCCATTTGGTATTTCATATAAGCATAATGGCTATTTTAAGACAGACTTAACATTCACATTACAATTTCAGGTTGGCTATCATAAGATAAAAATCAAAATCCATGCTGCACATTCCTGGACACACGCACAAAAGAAATGAAAAAATACAGCAAAGTAGATAGGGTATATTTAGAGAGATCTGGAATTCACAATGCAGATCCATCTCTAGTCTTGATGAAACTTCCAAACAGAAAGGGAAATATGTGGCGATCCCTTCCATCCGACAAGTAGGCATTTTCCGTTCCTATCCAATGTGCAAGAATCCCCTATCTTACAAGCAAATTTATTCCGTACTAGTTCTGCTTGATACAAAGAAGACATGCTAAGCTCAGCTTCGGCAAGTCTAAATTTGTTTAAAATATCCCTCCAAGCATCAATCTTCATGTGCCTTAAAATCCTCTCCTCACCCTCATTTGCAATGGTATCTTGGATACGAGAACCTAAGCACATTTCTTCAAACATCATCCTGTTTGGATCATTTCGAGACATACAAGCTTCCAGGGAATCAAAGGAAGAACTACAGTAAAAGAGTACCTCAAAAAAGCACTCTTCAAAAGATGGCGAATTATGATCTGCTTCAACTTCAGTGACCACCATCTCACATGAATTAGTTTATCTAAGCACTCTTATTAGAGATTCCAAGCAATCTGGTAGCCTAATTATATGGCTTAGCGCGACAGATGCATAGACAGCTACAACTTCACCATTGCTTAAGTCAATCAAGTCTTCATTAACATCTTTACTATCTGTCACTGTGGCAACTTTGAATGAAAAGGGTAAACTTAAGGTCTTAGCAAAGCAGGCCAATCTTTTACCTGTCTCCTCGATTTTCTGCTTCAATGTTGCACTGCAGTTACAGTAAGATGCTGCAGGGAAGTTCATGTTGAGAAGCAAGAGGTTGCATCAACACCATACATCGGGCTTCAGTTCTGATTTCAAGGTTAATAAAATGCACTCTTTTTGCCGAGGCAACACTTTCAATGATGTGGCCTACATTCCTGCAAACTGACTAGCTTGATAGAAGGGGAGTTCAAGATAATAGACAATAAGAGAAGGCCTCAAACTCATCACTATCTCTTCTGGAGTTCAAGGTAACTAACCAGCTGGATTTTGCATCATGTGACAATATGATGATGCTCCCTCATCTCCGATAATCAAGCGGGTGCTGTAACTATGTTTCGGTTTTACATTGATTCAGGATCTTTTCATGAATGCTTGGTTCAGCTGCATAAATGTAAGGGGTTTTTTCTGTTAGACTTTTTGCATGATGGTCCTACACTTTTAATATAATTAAATTATGGTCCTACACTTTTATGCTGATGTGGACTGATGTGGTCATACGGTTGTGTCTCTTCTCTTGGGCAGTTGTCTTTGATGGAAAGACAATTGCATATAAAAATGAGACTTTACAGGTCCCCATTTGACACAATTTTCATTTTAGATTCTCAAAACCATCATTCTAAAATTGCAATAAGTGGAAAACTCTGTATTTTAAAGAAGCAAGAAGACTAAACAACAATTGCTATGGCTGGAGGTTTGTCATTTATTTCCGCATATATTCCATGGAGATTCTATGATGAAATTGATTGTATTATCAACTTTTATATGAATATTGGAATAGAGATGTATTTTACATTTTCTTCAGAAAATTTGTCAGGAACACTGCCACAGAAACGGTTAAGCCAGGACAAATCACCACACCCTTGGCAAAACTGAAGGTATCTTGTCATTGCAACCCTAATGACATCTTCAGTTGACAGTGCTCTGAAACTCATGATTCAAGTGTATTGAAGCTGGGATTTCTCAGAACTTCAAGCCAACTTTCTTAGTTATTTTAAGAGTTTGATGACCTCAATTTCTTGGTACACTTCAAGAATAGGCTTACTCAGAAATTTCAGGCCAAGATAATCAATGATGGATTTCTTGCTTTCATGACTCTCAATATAATAATTAATGAATTTAACTCTTAGCTCATTATTATATAACATCAAGGAACTAGATTACCCTATAGGTCCAAATATTCTGATAGAATTATGATTCGTGACAGACTCTATGATTCCTCTCTCTTCAATTTTTTATTAGTCCAATTACCTGAGAAGAAGACTCTCTCTGAAAAGGAGAAACAGAAAAATACAGTGGAGAAGACATTAAGTGCAGGCATGTAAAAATTTCGTTAATGACTATACCTTGGACATAATTGATAATTATATATTGAACAACAAATAATAACCTGTCAAGAGCATTGTCCGGCGACAATATGCTGCTCAAAAGGGTGACAAGTGGGAATAAATGACAGATACAAAGAAGCATCAGACAAAAGTTTGCCTTAAAGCAATCATGTAAGGGAAAAATATAATTTATAAAACAGTAAGCCACTTTCTGAGTTGAATTATTACATGAAAGTTGAAACTAAGAAAGCATGGAAATAATAAACTAGCCGGTCTTACCAAACGGAAAAGTTCGTATGATTATTGCCTTGAAGCTTATATTATATACAATTAAGGGATGCATAATAATATGGATCATACAAAATACACATGTATAAGAAGATCAGGAAACTTTATTATAAGCGACTTACAGTTCATTTTGAAATCTTTCCCTCTTATTGGAACTTCCAAACTGAAACAGAAAAAATTGGTGTTCCCTTCCATCCAATCAATAGGCATTTTCCGTTCATAGTTAGTGTGCAAGAATTCCCACAAGAAAACTTTTTGACAACCAGATTTGCTTGATACAAGGATGAAGTGCTCAACTCTGTCTCCACTATTCCAAATCTAGCGAAAAAAGCCCTCCAATAATCGATCTTTTCATGTCGAACTGTTCTCTCCTCACCCTCAGTTGCTATGATAGTTCGTATCATGTGACTTAGGTAGATAAGTTCAATACATATTCTATTTGTATTGAATTGATCCATGGAAGCGTCAATGCCATCAAAAAATGCACTGTAGTAAAAAAGTGCTTCACTAAAGCGGTCCATGAAAGGTTGTGAATTATGGTTTGCCTCAATTTCTGAGACCACAATTATACATGGTTTCAGATTTTTTAGTAGTACCAATGCAGATTCCAAGCAATCAAGCTTGAGAAGGAAACTCTTAAAAAATAACGTAGAGTAGACAACAAGAAATTCCTCGGCCTCCACCTGAAAGGCATCTTTCTTTAGATCTTTGAAGTCCGATACAAAAACCGTTTTAAATGATAAGGGTACGTTGACAGTCTTAGCAAAGTCCATCAAACTTTTGCCAGTCTTCTGTACTCTGCGTTTTGAAGTTGATGTTACAACAGCAGTTATCTTAAGAAGTTCAAGGGGGCATTCATGTTGAGTAGCAAAAGCTTGCATCAAAATTGTCCATTGCTCGCCAGTTTTGATTTCGAGATCGATTACATGAACCCTTTTTGCCTTGATCACTTTTTCTACAACGGCTTGGATTGCAGTGAATTGTGTTGGTTTAATGAAGGGAATTTCTTGGATACATGCAAGAATGGAGGGGCTCGGACTCCTCAAAGCTTCGTCTATGTCAAGTCCATATCTTCCATCATTTTCTGGTGCAATCTTTCCTGTTTCTCTATTAATCCTCTCCCGAAGAGCTTCAACAAAGTAGTACACAAGTCTTTTAACTGGATTGCCTGTAATTGAAGACAAGTTATGACATATGTCAAGTAATGCCCTTGCATGATCATACTGCTGGTTGCTAACCTTCTCCGCAGAATCAAAAAGCAACTGAGCTAGTTCCACATTTTTAGCATCCTCATCGGAGAGATCATTGGTATGGGTGAGGAGGTTATCAGAAATTTGGGGAGAATACTTGCTGAATCTTGCTCTTGCAACCTTCATGACTTCTTCAGTTGACAATGCTGGTGCATCTGTTCCACAGTAAACTGCTTTATAGCTGGTGCTACTCAAGTTTTCCATGTTTAAATGCTTGAGCCTGTTCTGATATCTCTTCTCAAGTTCAGATGCCAGTAAAGAAAATATGCTTCTTCTTTCCTTCTCTGATTCACCAACATTTGAGATTTCAGACTGGATTTCTTCTGACTCTGTAGGTGCTGGTTGGTTTAGGTCCATGTCTTCCATAATTTTTGTTGTAAAAGATTTTGTCTCCTGATTTAAACTGCCTTCATATCCGATGACATGGCTCTCTTTGATGCCTAAGGTAAAGTACTTAGTTTTTTTTCTTGGTAAATACGGAATATCCAACCATTCTTGAAGGTGTAAACCAAGGAAACAGAAACTCTGATGCTGACTTCTGGACAAGATGATGTCCGGAAACTTTGTGAAGCTAGCTTTTAGCGGTTGTCTCTCTGACTAAAACCAGAATTAGCCTCCAAATGAATCAGTATAGCCAACAACCAAATCCGTATAATAGCGGAGTTCTCAATCATAACTTCACGTAATAACTTAAGTCAATGAAAACATAGCAAAAGAAACAAGGCAGAAAACAATCAGCAAGAAAATCACATTGCAAGCTGGCTGAAGAATATACAGCTTTCCTCCTATTTAAGAATGTACTAAACTAAAACTATCACCTTATACTAAACAGCATTGTCCAATGATTTGTAAATGACCTACTAAAATATAGATTTTAAGAAATTTCTCAGCTATATAAACTGTATTGTTTAGATATTCCCAAATTTTCACAAAAACCATAACCCTCAGTGTTCCTTTTTCTTGATGAATTTATGATGTTTAAAGGGCACGTTCCCAACTAAATTGAGATCATCTTACAATTTTGCAAATTTGGAATCACTTTCAGCCTCAATATTGTTTTCCGCAGCATATGTGCCGAAGTAAAATCTGTTAGCAAACATAGAAGACATGCATAAAAGTTTCATTCTTCGCCAATATCAAAATGATAATTTCAAATAAATAATACAGTCTAAAACAGGGAAACTGTTCGAAAATAGAATCTGCTCAGACTTGTAATATTGAGAAGATGAACTTATAAAAAGGAAGAGAAAATTCATTCAGTATCTCTATTAAATTTTCCATCTCTTCAATGAGGAAGAGAACCAATCTCTCTTTTCTCTTCAATGAGTAAATTCTTCAATCCTTTATTTATAAGTAAATCAAGGATTAGATTACATAACTGACTTAACTGTTCAAAAACAGTTCAAAGTGTAATTCAATTACATAACTGAAAATAACCACAATTTGATTCAGTCTGAAACTGTAGTTCTTTGTCCATGCCGCGGCACTAATTTTCTTCTGCCGCGGCACGTTGCTTTCTGGAATTTTTCCAGAACAGATTTCTTCTTGGTCGCCGGGGCATGCTTGATTATGGACTTCTTCATCCGCTTTCGCCATCTTCTCGCCATACTTGCTGCCAATGCTGCAGTCATTCTTGCAGCCCATCTTGCTGCCATTCTTGCAGCCCATCTTGCTGTCAATCTTCATTTTCTACCAAAAGGATTCCATTTCCAACGGAAACACAACTTTTTCTCTATTTATGACTGTAAGCTATCAAACGTTCGCCTGCAAAATTTGAGAAATGAAGCTGTCCGATAGCTTCAATAAGGCTAACTGCTTTGTCAATTCATTTCGTGAAGCCAAGTAAACCCAGAATGACAGAGTTACACAGGTTTCTGGGAATAATGCTTGAATCAGGAACTCTTTTAAGAGTTAAGACACTGAATGCTAGCAACTATAAACGGAACCAAGGGCATACATCTCCTTGAAAACTTTGATTAGACAATTTAATTATAAATTCAGTGGTTTTCATATACATTTTGTTATATCTGTTTGTTTTGAAACGGAAAGCAATTTGCCTTCCAGTCACTTGGTTTTCTCTACATGGAAATACTTGCAGGATAGGAAAATGAGTAAAAACTTCACCTTCAATAAGCTAATCATTTATTTCTTCTAGATATATGTTAGGATCCCACCTGGGAAGGGAAAAGGGTGGGCATATGGGTTATAAAGGGTTTGGGCACCCTCCTTTGGCAAGCTGATTTTTTAAGGAGAGTTCTACTCAAGCCCATAAAAGGCCCACTGCCGAGCCCAATTGTTTGAGTTGCTAAATGGGTTTCTATCAAATGATATCAAAGCCAAACCCAGCCTGAGCCCATGTTCTGATAGGGGCGACCTCTGAGATTAGGTCACTCAGAGTAAAGCCGTCTACCAACGATGTTTTGGAAATGACTACTTGGGAAAGGGCGACTTGGGAGAGTAGGCCACTCAGAGTGAAGCCGTCCAGAGTGGGCCAGCGTAGACGTTAGGTCTCGAAGCGTGGAGGAATGTTAGGATCCTACATTGTAAAGGAAAATGGTGGGCTATGGGTTATAAAGGGTTTGGGCACCCTCCCTTGGCAAGCTGGTTTTCCAAGAAGAGTTCTACCCAAGGCTACCTAGGAATGGGCGACCTAGGAGAGTAGTCCACCCAGAGTGAAGCTGTCCAGAGTGGGCCAACATGGACGTTGAGTCTCGAACATGAAAGAATGTTAGGATCCCACATTGGAAGGGAAAATAGTGGGCATGTGGATTATAAAGGGCTTGGGCACTCTCCCTGGGCAAACCGGTTTTCCAAGGAGAGTTCTACCTAAGCCCACAAAAAATCCACTGCCCAGCCCAATTATTTGAGTTGTTAGATGGGATTCTATCAATCTAGAAGCTAATTATCTTGTTCAGACATTGAATGTAGAAAGATTGAGTAATTTAAGATGTAGAGTTCTTTTAAATATGATGAAACAAACACAACTATGGAGTAGCATTTCATCCATGTTGCAGACAATGAACACGAAAAAATCCAAACAAACATTACATAAATTGTAAAGACATGCAACTCTTTTTTACTTTAGAAAGGTCTCTAAAAAAAAGTGGAAAAGATACACATGCAACTCTTTTTTACTTTAGAAAGGTCTCTAAAAAAAAGTGGAAAAGATAGACTAGAATCGGAAAATAGCATTATCATCACAGGAAATTGTGATCATCATGACATAAACCTTTACTATTCTGCAGTTGAGTAAAAGAACAAGGGCAGTGATGACATGAACCATCCTCTTTTTAAAACAATGGTTTGCCAGGAAATCAATAATCAAAAGGGATCATACAAACCAAAGATTTGAGGGCTATTGAGCAAAGGATAAGCTGTGACTGCCCTAGTTGTTTTCATCAAATGAACTTCCAAACAGAGAGTGAATGAATTGGTGTACCCTTCCAACCGACAAGTAGGCTTTTTCCATTCAACTCTAATGTACAAGAACTCTCACAAGGAAATTTCTTTACCACAAGGTTTGCTTGATACAAGGATACCATGCTCAGTTCAATCTCCTCCATGCCATAACGTGTGAAGAATGCCCTCCAAACATCAAGCTTCACATTTCGAGTCTTCCTTTCTTTTCCCTCAGCAGCCACAATGTCCCTGATTCCATCTCCAAAAAACATTGATTCTGTAACCATCCTATGTGGGTCATCTCGCTTCATGCAAGCATCAAGGCAATCAAAATATGCACTAAAATAGAAAAGAGCTTCAATGAAACGATTCACAAAAACTGGTGAGTTGTGATTTGCATCAACTTCAGTGACCACCATCATACAAGGATTGATATTTCTGACCACTCTCATTATATTTTCGAGGCGATTTGGGACTGAAATCATGCTTCTTAATGTAAACAAAGCGTAGACAACAACTTTTTCCTCTGGATTTATCTCAAAGAGATCCTCTTTAAGATCTAGCATGTCTGAGACCATAACTGTATTATAGGAAAAGGGTAAGTTCATGCTCTGGGCAAAACTCTCTAAATTCTTACCTGTCTCCTCAAGTAAATGTTTCGCAGCAGTTCCAACAGCAGTAATCTTGAGAAGCTCAATGGGGCATCCACATCGAGAAGCAAGAGATTGCATCAACACTGTCCATTGCACTCCATTCCTGATTCCAAGATCGATTACGTGAATCCTCTTTGCCTCAGCCACATTTTCTACAATAGCTTGAATCCCCGTGAATTGTAAAACCTGGGAGAAGGGAATTGCTTCATGACATGCTAGGGTAGTGGGATTTGAACTCATCATTGCCAAATCAACATCAAATGGCTGTTTTTTCCCCAATTCCCTTATACAAATCCTTCCTGTTTCACGATCAATCTTCTCTCGAAGAGCTTCAGAAAAATAGTAAACTACTCGTTGAACGGGATTTCCTTTATTTGAAGACAAATAATCACACTGATTGAGAAATCTGGTGGCACGTTCATACTGCTGATCACCTACTTTCTCAGCAGAAGCCAAAAGGAATTCAGCAAGCTCCACATCTCTGATCTCCTCATCAGAAAGACCAGAAAATGAAAGATTGAAGGGATTTCCAAGCATGGAGACAACATCTTCAACTGCTTGAGAAGAGGAACGGATGAACCTTTCTCCAGCAATCCTCATGATTTCTTCAGCTGACAATTTTCGGCTTGACATCTTTGTGAGTGGTGTTTCAGTGCTTGGCTCAATCCTTCTATCCCCATTCAATCTTTTGATACCACTTCCATAGTTCTTCAGCAGCTCAAGAGATGCTAAAGAAAATGGGAATTGCTTATCCTTCTTTGGCTGAACCACATCTTGAATTTCAGTTGGCATTTCACCAAGCTTTGATATCTCCTCCAGGCAGGTTTGAATGGGTGGAGAAGCAATATCAAACCTTAGATGATCAAAAAGACCAAAATCTGAATATGACTGTTGGTGCGGTTCTGGTTGTGGCTCTAGTCGCGGATACTTAGAGAAAATGATTTCTTCTGATGATGATACATCTTGATAAAATCCATAACCGGAATAAAGGGAATCAATGGCACCAGATCCTCCCCAATCTTCTGTTCCATAAGAATTAAATTGTTTCCCTATGTTCCCTCCCCTCATACTCTCAAAACCATTATCTGTAGAGCTAAGCTTATCTTGAACTTCACTAAAATTGAATCCCTCCAAAGAGAACATCACATTCTCCATCTAAATACAAAACTTTGTCACCCAGCTCACAATCTAGTATGTCAATTTGAGTTGGGGCACACTACTATGCTTGTAACTCAAAGCTTTCTAGATATAAATGACCAAATAGATTTTTACTTATCTTGTTCACAAATCTTTTATGTATGACAAACTCTTCCAATTATAGTATTATTATTTGACAAATTCTTGTGCACAATTCATCACACAACAGTAACTTTGACATGGACGGGTTGGAGTTTTCGAGGTGGCCTGCAACCGTAACAGTAAAATATATGAATGCCATTTGGATAAAATCTTCCATAAAAATTAACCTTCACATCGATCTAGTAAGATTTTTAAACATCAAACAACGCTTGGAATCCAAACAACAGGTTCAGAAGCCACAATCAAGTTGATATCAATATCCTAGAAAGGACTTTCCACATAAAAAATTTCCTAAGAAAATCAGTCAAGAATGCTACAGAAACTAGGAGAACATAGAATGGTAATTGAATATACAACAAAGACAAAAGACAAAGAACAACCACTTTTATGATAAAAAGATATTAAAGACATGAAAGCAAACAACGTAAGAGCTTACGAATCTACAGTGCCGCCACATCCATCTAAAGAGCCTAGAAATTTTGACAGTGACACCCAATAAATTTTGTATGATTTTTAAATTAATCATTAACCAGTGATGCTGGTCATAGTAACAGCAACTTCACCTTCATTTTGTTTGTCTAATGGCGTTGAGAAAAAGGCTGACCTGGTCAAAATTCTGAATAACTCCAACTCAAATTGAATATTCAGTAAAAATGTAAAGCGGCTTAATTTTCTGAGATGGGCCGAAATCTGAAGGCCCAGCCCGTAGAAGTGGGCCCATAACTCGCCTACCAAGTACCGACTCGATAACAGCACTACGGCGTTGACAAGACACTAAAGGCCAATAATCAAACGCCACGTAAGCAAATGCACCTCAAATGACGTGTCAAGTCACTACCAAAATCATATTGCCTCCCAGCTCGATTAAGAAATCAGTTCCCCTCTCCTCTCCTTTTTTCTCTCGTTGTAGAGAAGAATTTGGTCTTCAAATCAGACGGTGGTGGTTGATCGATCCTAAATATCAGATCGAAATCCAATGGCGGACGATAAGTACAATTTGAAGAATCCGGCTGTGAAGAGAATCTTACAGGAGGTTAAAGAGATGCAATCTAATCCATCAGATGATTTCATGAGCCTTCCACTCGAGGTTCGTATGACTATTTCGTATAAATTTTATATATTTTAAGTAATTTTTAAAATTTTCCTGTTTTTGAAAATACTAAGCAAAGAGATCTATTGTTGTTCAATTTCAATGGCTTGTATGGATTACTTAATTTTGTTGTTTATTTCAATTATTTATAGATTTATTAAATAAATTTTGATTTTTTGGAAATGTGTTTTTGTTTTTGTTTTGATTATTGTTGAATCGAAAAAATGGAGTCTTTTATGCAGATTTTGTTTATTAGTCGCATAAGTGTAACGAAAATGAGTTAAAATCAATTAGGGCTTCCTGGAGTTGAATTTACAAATGTAGCTGAATTGAGAGGAATAGAGAATAAAGTTTAAAAATTACAGTTTACTCATTTAAGTTTGTTTAATTACGAGTGATTTATTATAACTTAGAAGAGAAAAGGAGTAGTGATTAATTTTTATGCAAGGATTTGGTCATTGTCTTTTGGCTTAAGTTCTTGAATGTGATCCAGGAAAAGAAACAAAAATTAGTGACACTTTGAAGTGAAATGATGTTTAAAAATATGCGTAATTTGATTGGTGAAGTTTTATTTTGAAAGGGAGTCTTCCGTTTCAATTTTGGTTGTTTCTGTGCTTTATGCAAGGTTTTGGTGTTGCTAAGCTTATGGTTTTTGTTCACAGGAGAATATATTTGAATGGCAATTTGCCATCAGGGGTCCGTGTGATACTGAATTTGAAGGTGGAATCTATCATGGACGAATTCAGTTACCTGCTGAATATCCATTTAAGCCCCCATCATTTATGTTGTTGACTGTAAGATATCGCCCTCTAAAAAAAACATTGCTTCTCATCTCCTGGTTATTATGTGCTAATTACCTTTAATATGCTTTTTGCTTTTCAGACTAATGGGCGCTTTGAAACCCAGACTAAGATATGCTTAAGCATTTCAAATCACCATCCAGAGCACTGGCAACCATCATGGAGTGGTAAATCTTATTCGTCTTGGCTTTTTGTGGATGTGATTTTGAGTGGTCTTCACGAAGATCCATTCTGTGTACAATATCATGAAGTTGGGTCTATTGTCTAAGTTTTATATTGCTTCAAAAGCCAATTGATGCAGCTCCTTGAGTATATATCTTTTGAAAAGCAGTATAACCAATTGAAAGCAGTTCAAGCAATAATGTTTCCTTTTGCAACTATTTTGAGTAAAGATATATCTGTGCTTGTATCTTATACACTTTACATTTAAAGTAGCTTACCAGTACAAGTTTTTCTAAAGGCTTGTGAAGTTATGTAGCATTCATTTAATTAGTGGTGCTCATTTTCATGCAGTCAATCATTTAGCTTGATATATTAGGACTGTAGAGCATTGTTAGCCTGTATAGAATTTTGTTTGAATAACCATTGAATATTGCTGCTACTTTAAAAAACAATTCTTAGTTTTGGCAATGCTTGGCAGATTGGTTAGATATCTGCCTCAAATTGGAATGAATTTGTTTTGCTTGAACCTATCCTGCAAAGTCTATTTTCCACAAATGCTGAACGATTGTTCAACTTGGCATATGCACAAATATCTGTTTATTCCTAATTTTTTGCTCTGGGCTAAAGAAATTGTCTTTTTGCAGTGCGTACCGCCCTTGTAGCACTAATTGCATTCATGCCTACCAACCCAAATGGTGCATTGGGATCACTAGATTATAAGAAGGAAGAGAGGCGTGCTTTGGCTATCAAATCTCGTGAAGCTGCCCCAAGATTTGGGACTTCTGAACGTCAGAAGCTCATTGATGAGGTGTGTTTTAGCTAAATCTTTCTTGTGTGTTTTTAACATTAATCATGATTTGGTCTAATTAACTTTTGGATGACAGATTCATGAATATATGTTAAGCAAGGCACCCCCTGTTCCTCAGCTCAGCCCCTCAGAGTGCTCTGAAGAACACCCTGGCAACAGGGAGGGTGAAGCCCAAGAAAGCTCCCAAGGTGCTGGGGGTGTGCCCTCCCAGGAAGGGCTTCCAAATCCTGCTGTGGTTGAAAGGATTACTGAAGAAATTCAGGAGGTTCCTGCCGATGCTAATCCCAGCCCAGCAGTAGCTAGAGCATCACAAGAGGTTCCTGCCAATGCTGATCCCAGCCCTGCAGGAGTTCGAGCATCAAGAGAGATTTCTGCTAGAGGCTCAAGTGATCATCTTCTGCCGCAAAGGGCAGAGATGAGGGTTCAAAAACCTGTTGACGATCGCCTGTTCACGTGGGCTGCTGTTGGACTTACTATTGCAATTTTGGTTCTTTTGCTGAAGAAGTTTATGAAATCGAGTGGTCATGGTGCTGTCTTCATGGATGGATCATAGATATAAGAATGGTTTCAACAGGCTTGACCATTTGAATTGGAATCAGTAATTAAAAATGGGCTAAAGTCTTGTCATGAATTTCCATTCGATCAGTTAGTATTGTATATGAATATGATCCTTGATATATTCATCTTTATATATCCCAATGATGGTAAGTAATGATATAGATCAGCAACTCATTTTCAATTGTAATCATTATTATAATACAGTATGAGTATCATTTCTTATATAGATACTTTATATGAGTCCTTTATGGCACCAAAAGAAGTGTGGAAAAGGCAGATCAAAATGATCCGGCTGTGTAGACAATAATGGATTTGTAATAATATTAAGCTTAGCATTAAAAAAAAGAAAGAAAAAAAGAAAAAATGGCAGAGTTCTGGTTGATCTATTTTACAGTTTTACATTTCTGTATCTGTAAAGTTTCAGAACTATATACTGGCCATACAAATACAGTTTTCTGGAATTCGGTTGGTTCAGTTTGCAATAGTCCTACAAAAAAAACATTTCAGGCATTTTGCTGAGTGCAAAAGGAATGTATATAATACCAAATGGTGAAGCCAAGTACATCTACAATGCACGACTAACCTGATAATCAGTCAGAACAACAGAGCTCTTGTATCACATCACATTGTGAAGCCAAACCTGGTTAAACCGACCTCCATTGAACTGATAATTCGGTTGTTCCACGATTCACAACTTACAAAAATTGACTGACAACATTTCTGTATCCATGCAGGAAGAACACGTAACCACGTCAGCAGGAGATCAAAGGATGCTTCTTTTCATGTATTGCCCTGTAACATTGGAGACTGCAGAGGGGAAGCTTCGATTTAGAATCTCGGTACTTGTATGCATTTGTACAATTTGGACCAGCACATCTCTCACGTGGCGGAGGATAACTGACACACCAAAAATGACAAATCCCATAAAATAAATAACATACATGGTGAATGAATGAAACAAGTGGTTATCAATAAAATGCAGCAACAATGGAAGAAATACAGCAACTGAGGTAAAAGAGCAGGTGAAGTTCCACCTGCAGGGAACCGGATTGAATATGTTTGGTAGGCCAATATCTTCAGAAAAAATAACAACAGTTCCACTGGGACCAAGAACCCATCTGACAGTATTCAATGCAAGTGTACCAGATTTAGCAGCCTTACCCTGCATTGAATTACACAATCTACATCAGAAGCATGCTAAGAATCAAGCTATAGAGAGAAGAAATGCAGGAAGTTCATCAACCTGAGCCAACTCATCCCGTTGCTTCTTCAGCTTTTCATCCTTCTTCTTTCTTCCAGACTCTAGGCCACGTATTTTCCTGATTGCCTCAGCCTGAAAAACACGATATAAGACCACTTTCCCATACAGTGACAATAGAAGCATAAAACACATCATGATAGGATAGCAAACCTGAGCTTCTCGAGCCGCCTTCTCTGATTGTGTTCTACGTCTTTGTGCAGCCTCAGCTTTCTTCAATTGTTGCTCCACCTCAGATAGTTTCTCCTTTTGTTCTGTCAACCAACAACAGTTCAATATACAAATGTTTATAGCAAATACACACATGCTAAATGTGTGTATCTGTGAAATTGCAGTCCCACCCTATCACATGGTTTGTTTAAATACAAGTAAAAGGACAAACTGCATAGTAGGAGAGAGGTGCTCACTTTTAGATGGGGCAGGAGGTAAACCATTTGGGAACTCAATGAGGCTACCACCAGACCCAGATAAAATGTCTTTCCCAGACTGAAGGGCCCGATTACGTGTAGTGGGAATCAATTCATTTCTCTGATCCACAAATGAATCAAGAACAACCTTTTCAAGTTTCTTCTTCTTAGAATCAGGTTCATCATCTGACATAGGTTCTTCTTCTTCCACATAATCTTTATCATCATATATCCCCAGTTCTTTCCCAATTACTGCCTCCTCATATTCATAACTAGCCACAACCTTGGGAACATTGAGTCTCCCAAGATAACGTAGTTCATCATCTTCATTAGCATCATCTCCATCAAAATCCACATCCAAGGCACGTCTCTTAGGAACCCGCTTACTCTTACGAATTGACTCATGTGATTCGTTCACAGATACACCCTCAGATGTCTTTCCCCTTGAAGAACTCAGCTTTAAGTAACTAGAACCACTTCTGGAAAAATCCTTCCTATGAACTCCATTGCCTTCTCCTTTTTCTGAATGATAGAAGTAATGTATATCTTTGTCCTGCACCAGTGTTTATATAGAAGCCACCATCATCTTAGAGAGCTTATCATCTAATATTTCCAATCTATCAGCATTATAAACCACACAAACTATCCAACAATAACAGAAACTAGAAGGAATTCATTTAAGGGGAAACAAGAAAGTAAAAGAAAAATGACTCGAGACCAGATCAAATACTTCCTTTTTAGAAAGAGTCAGACTATTTAATAGTCTTGAAAAAGTGATATAGAACATTTGATCAAAAACCTTTGTGATCTCTTTAAATCACAGACTATTAATCAAACAAGAGCTAATCTAAAAAAAGAAACAATTATTAGCGCACAATGATTCACAAATATCAATACAAGCCAGTGGAAGCACCTGCTTCTGCCGGTGCTGAGAATGCTCCACTGTGGAATTTGTTTGAATTGTATGAGTAACACCACCAAACTTGAGCTTAAGCTTCAGCCTATTCTCACCCCCTAATCCATCAGAACCAACCATAGTATCTTTGAAATATTGATTTCCATCTATAGATTGTGTGGATGGTTGCAGAAAAGTAGAGGAGTGTATAAGTGATCGTAAATCAGGGCGAGGTCGACGAGATATGCCACTCCTTTTCTTCTTTGCAGTACAACCAACAACAGCAAGCCCGTCACCACTGGAGCATTCCATTAATGTTCAAAACCCCAATGGTGACAGCTAATAATCCTTTGGATAAGATTCCAATACTAACAGAGCGTTGTTGGTCTGAAGATTCTAGACAAAAGTAACAACAATGGAAACTATATTAAACAAACACTTGATAATAATACTTGAACAGGTAAAGACACTAGAACTCAAAATAATTTGCACAAGAAAGAAAATCAATTTATAAAACAAAATATAAAGAAAATTACACCATTAAACTAATTAAAGATAGAATAAAATACAATAAACTAAACTAAACTGCTGAAATCCCAAATTACACATAGAAACCCAGTAATAAAAAAAAATTAAAAACTCAAAGATGGACGGTATCACCAGCAAAGAACCCAATTCACACACATAGTAGAAAATTCATTCCTTAATTTGAACATGGGCCTATCCGGAACCTAAAAAGATTTTTCAAAAGTCCAATTTTTGAAGCTATATGAACGATTACACTGAGCTGAGCCTCAAAAAAACAACTAATTGGTTAATCAACTGGTCTTCTTTCTTTCTTTCTTTTTTTTCACTTTCTAGATACAAATTTTTTTCTTTTTCTTTTCCTCTATTTTCCCAGCAACCAAAAAGAAACTTAAGCTACATTTTATGTCCATAATATTGCATAAGCAAATCCATAATGTATCTTTCAGTAGCTTCTCCAAAGAAACAAACATTAAAAAAAATAAATAAATAAATAAAAAGAATCTTTAATCGAAATATCATTTTTTTTTTGGGCAAAAAATTAATGAAAAAACAAGAAACAAAAGACGACTTAATCGGTTACATTACACAAGAAAAAAGGAAACCCTTACAGAGAGAAGTCCTAGATGAGTGTTGAAGATTGTTTAGAAAACTAAACTCAAACAAAAGATGTTAAGAGAGAGGAAGGTTAGAGCCTTTGTGGTCTGGTTTTGTCGAATGGTTTAGTTCAAGTCAAAGTTGAGCAGTGTGAGAGAGTGGCTATTGCCATTTTCAGAATGGTTCTGGTAAAAGACACACTGAGTCAGACTCTTTATCTGCTCCATTGTTGCTCTTTTTGGAGTTTTTTTTTTTTTTTTTTTTTTTTCCAAGCACTTTATTTATATTATTTTTTTTCGGAATTTGAGTGTTTATATGAGCTGTGACTGGGTAATGCGGCCACCCACGCTGAGATATAGCTGAGGCCTATCCCCATTTAAGATTTTACAAAACAAATAAATCCCATGTTTCATTATCATTTCCTTCTGTCTCAATAAGTAAGAACCCAGTACAACTGAAATCACAGTTTTGAATATCCATTTCTAATTCTAAGCCAAAAAAGTTGTTGATCCTAAAATTTGCACCAACGATATTGAGGAAGCGAGTCAGCGTGATAAAACAAGGTTAATACTCGGTTACATCTTTAGAATTGATAACAAGTTTTAATCACATAAACTTAAGCCTTAAAATATAAAATAAGTCTGAATAATTCATTAAATAGCATCCAAAACAAAAAAATAAGTTTCTATAGAGTGACAATCAGTCCTAATAAGACTCTTAATAACAAAAAAAAACTAAAACTAAATTAATTAAAACAAGAAAACCAGAAATAAAATAGGAAAGCGTAGACAATTAAAATAGCCCCAAAACACACTGAAACGGTGGATTTTGACCTCGAAAACGACCCCGTAACTCATGTCGACAGACTCGAAACAAGCTTTCCATTGGTATCTAATGAGCCCCATAACTCCTCAAAGATCAAAGTTATGGTCGTTTGAATATAACATACTCATTTAGGACCTTTAGGCTTTATGTATGGACTTTTGACGTTCAATCCACTCCATGAATTCGTCCGCTAGACGTTCTACGTTAGAGATGTGCATAGATTTATATGAAATATGTGATGTGATGCTAAATCAATGAATAAATCAAAAGCACAAATGACAATATATTTTTAAAGTGATTAGGATGTTTGATGTAAAATATATGTTTACTGTTTATGTATTTCTTTTTGTGTTTATTTTTCGTTTTCACATACAAGTGCGGCTTACAAAAGTCGAAATGAAAAAATCTCCGTCATTTGAGTAAAGGGGGCATTTGGTTCGGGTGTATCTATCATTATTGGGGGTAAGTGTTCTTATAGTACTTTATTACCATGTTTAGTTGTCAAGTAATATAAGATACCGATAATCTTCAAATACCAATAGTGATTACTATTGGTAATATTGGAGGTAATCTGATTACCTCCATTTTCTTAGATTTTCTAAGATTACGAAGGTTATTTTTTTTGTTACAATTCTATCTCTTATTAATAAAAATTTTGGACAATAATGCCCCTATTTTAAAAGAAATTTACAATAATATCTTATTTCAATTTTACCTTTGTTTAATTAAAATTTTGGACAATAATGCCCTTGTGTTTAAAACAATTTACAGACCACCACTGTCACCCAGCCACCATCGCCAACAGTGGGCCAACCACCACGGACCGCCGCCGGAAAGTCACCGGAGTCCCTAAAAAGGAACCAGATTCGGTGGGAGGCTTCCGTGTGGCCGTTTTCGGCCATACTAATGGCCGAAAACGGCCATATCAGGCCAGATCGTTGGAATTGGCCGTTAATGGCCAGATCCCTAGCCATTAACGGCCAGATCTGGTTGTTCGTGGCCGTTAACGGCCAGATCTATTCTGGCCGGAATAGATCTGGCCACTAACGGCTAGGTCCATGGCGTTAACGACCAGATCTCGTCTAGATCTGGCCGATAATGGCCAAGAATCTAGCCGTTAAAGGCCAGATCTGGCCTGATATGGCCGTTTTTTACCATCAGTATGGCCAAAAACGGCCATATCGATGCCTCTTAGTCACTGTGACCTACACTAGGACTTTCAGAGACTTTCGACGGTGGTTTGCTATGGCGGCAAGAGGTGGGGGTGATTTCGTCATAAATTAAAGTTTTATATAAACGGAGGTGTTTTAGCTAAATCTGAAATATTGAGGGTTAAAAGAAATTATTCAAAAATTAATAATAAAAAAATATTATATTAATATTTTAAAAAGGGACAATTTAGTAATTTAAATAACATACCTACCAATTTATTCTCCATAACCAGGGGTGGACCCAAGCCCTTTGAGGGTAGGCCCAGGCCTGCCCTCAACTTTAAAAAAAAAAATTGAAAAGTTTTTTTAAAAGGTAAAAAAAAAAAGTTAAAAGTTAAAAAATTAAAAAATTTGGTTTTGTCTTTTTTATATTCAAGTTTTCTTCCCCAATTCCCAACTTTTCTTTTACATGCAGATCTTGATTTGGAGTGATTGTAATCCATATTTTTGTAAACCTTTGTGTATTTTACTTTTGTTAGAATTGTGATTGAACTCTAAATTTGTGTAGAATATTTTTGATGGATTTGTAGTTATTGTAAATAATAATCCTATTTTTTCCTATGATTTTGCATTGAATTTCGATAGGATTTAAGATACTTCTCATACAATTTGAACCATAATTGCTACTTAATTCTATTAATTTGTCTTTGCAGGCTTAAAAGATGATTTTGAGCATAAATGTTAAGCGTAAATTATGTAACTTAAGCTTGAAAACTCAGAATGACCTGATTTTATAAGTTTTGGAAAGCTAAGAAGCAGAGCTACAACTTTCATGTTTTGGGTTTTTCCTAATTCTGACTGGACAAAGGTGAAAACTTGGCTTGAAGTCGTGAACAGTATGTTGTAAACTAAAGAAAAACGTCTTTGGACAAACTTTAGTATTTCTGCCATAACTTGAGCCGTAGACCTCAGATTGTGCTGATTCTTGAACGAGTAGAAAGATAATTTAAAGGGCTAAAATTCATATGTTTAACACTTTTCTATATTCAGAATCTTTCATGCTCAAATTTGGCCCGAAAGATTCTCGCTGTGGCAAGGAAAAAGCTTCTCTGCGGCGAAACTGCGTCAGATGTGAAAAATAAAAGGACGCATTTTGGCTTGCTAGGGCTTGGTCCTTAAGTGAAAGAGGTATAAATTAGCACAAAAATGAAAGAAAAAGGGTCTTGGTTCGTCATTTGGAAGGCAGCTCTTGGAAGGAAAAGATTATTGAAGATTTGGACTTCAAATTAGAGAAGATTTCTCCATCTTTTGCTTGTTTTTCAATGATGAATCTTGATTTAGTTTGTTTTTGTTATTTTATTTTGTTTTTGAATATGAACTGAGTTGTTTAGCTAGAGTTTGATGTAACCTTGATACAATGATTCAAATTTATATGAATTGATTTACTTTGAGTTTTAATTTCATGATGAGTGTTTATCTCTTTGTTTAATGACTTTTGGATGCTTGATCACCATTCAAATGTGTGTTGTTCACAATGAGACTGAGAAGTGATTTGTGATTGTGCCTCTTGGGATAAATACCATAGATTAAGCAAACGCTAGAGATAGGTTTAGCTATTTATGAAATCTAGATAGAATTCCATAAAGCTTAAAAGACTTTGAACTATTAATCTTTATTTTGTTAGGTGCGGAAGCTTAATAGAAATAAGTAGTAAAATAGAGTCTGAGAATTATTTTACAACTTAGGAAATTCCATATTCAATCAAGGAATTAGAACTTGGATAATAGATTCTATGATTTGGGTTAGCGTATCTAGGCGAAATCAACACCCTAGCATATTTTTTAGCATTTTGTTTAATCATTTAAGTTGTTGGGTTTTGCTTGAATTCCATTATCATTCATTTATATTTTCTTAAATTGTATTTAGTTCGTTAATTTTCCATCAATCCAATTTATTGTTGCTTCCATTAGGACTTAAACTAGAGAAATCGATACTTAGTAACACTATCCTCGTGGAAACGATACTCTACTTATCACTTTATTATTTTTTGCGACTAGTGCACTTGCTACATTTGCATGTTTGTCAAAAATACGTATCAGTAAACTCTTTTGATTATATTGGATTTAAGTGGATCGTTAGATTCCCGTAATTTTTTTATCTCTTCACATTGAAGAGTTTTTTCCACGTAACAATTTTCTTGTGTTTCCTTGTGAATTAGATGTTATTTTCTTATGTTTTCACTAGTTGATCAGCAAACAGTGGCGGAGCAAGGGGGCCCCTGGGCAAAAATCCTGGGTCCGCCACTGCCCATAACCAAATATATTCATATAACATACCCATCAACTAATCAAACATATTTTCCTAAAGATTCTCAGTAATCTTCCAAGGTAATCTATCTTTCCAGTAATCCAATATTATCATTAATCTAACATTTCTGAAGCAAAGGTCTCCAAAAAAGTAAACTTATATAATGTTATAATGACAACCTTATAAATAATGTTAACTCTGAATAAAATGATTAAATAAAATGACGCTTGACGCAAATCCAGGCTCCGAGGATTGATCGCGCAACAAAAGTAATAATAATTTAATATAAAAATATATGGTTTACAATAATATTATTCGTATCTAAAAATCCCTGCAACCAGGCTGATTTCAAGACACAAATCCTTAAAAGAGTTACAATTTTTTTTTTTTTTTTCTAAGACACTTATGAGAATATCATCCTGCTACCTAATCATATATTTTTTAATTGCTTCTCTGGGACAGGAAAGACATTCTTTTAACATGATCTACAAAACTGAAATTAATTTCAGAATATCACTTGATTGAGGAAGCAACGACAAGGCAAGTGCTAACCAGATTACGGAGAATATCATCAAACTTAAGTATATGAGGATTATTTGAAAAATCATCACAATCTGAAAAGTCTGTCACAGCTGCACTAAGCATGCTGTTAATGGTTCCAATATCAAGTTGTGGAATTGCATTCTTTGCATTCTGAAGATTCTCCAATGCATCTTCGTAACTTTCCTTGCAATCTTCATAGTCAGATTGTTTTGTAGATTGCAAGGTGGGGGTTTTAGCCAGATTTGTAATTGCAGCCCTAGCCAACTTTATTTGATGAGCGGTTGCCGTTATTGTCTTGTCAAGAACAGATAGTGTATCAGAACTGTAAAGAGGAGTAATAAATTTCACGCAAAGCGCAGGCCGATCAGTAGAGTTGCATATCTTTGTTATCTCAGGAATATTATTGGTTTCTGATGGAATAGGAGGATGGTAAAGTTTTGAGTTACGCGAGAAAAGTGAACCGCTATGTGGGGTTGTTGATAAAAATTGACCTCTTGAAGGAGCGATAAGAGGTGGATCTTTTCGTGAAGGAGATGGAGCTGGAGGTTTTGGCATTCGACGAGGAGAAGGAGCTGATAATGNGTTTCAAGTTCGATTTTTCATCTAAACATCCACGGTTTAAGTGAGAGGGCATGACAGTGAGTTTGTATTCTAGTCTCATTCGAAGATTAGTTGAGGTGTGTGTAAATTGGTCTGGATAACTTGGTTACAAAAAAAAAAAAAAAAAGTTGAATAGATTATGATTCCATGATCCAAGTAAGGTAACATTAATCCCAAACCCTAGACCCTATAATCTCCTATTGTTACTTATGGTGGGACGTCGTCGGCAAAACATTTCCCAGAAATGCATCTCCGAATTGCATAATCTAACGTATAGTATTAGTATTAATGGCATAACATATCAATGCCACTATAAATACTCGTCCCCTCTAGATTCACCATTGCATCTCAATTAGATTCACCATTAAACTCATTTCTTCTGAGCTCTATGATGGAGCCTCATTCTCTATCTTTTCCAAGTTGTTCATCCTCCTCAGTAACAATTCCAATGAAAGAAGCAACACAGAATTTGATGAGTTTTGTCATAATAGGATTAGCGATTTACCAGATGCTAATACCCTTACCCTTCACATCATTGTATGAGTTTTCTTAATGAACTAGCAACTGATACCAAGTTAATGATTAATTATAATGTTTCAGGATGATTGGAAGATTGAAAGTGGATGGAGTGAGATTGCTTTAGATGCTGAAATAGAATTAGAGAAAACTCCCGGAACATGAGCATGCGGAATCCTAGTATTTGGGACTTAGGAGTTTGAAGATGTCGAATGAACACAGGAGCAATCCTTCCCTTCGATCTTCCTGCTTCTTTAAGAATTATATTGGGCCTCCAATTCTTGCACACACCCCCATGTTTTGATTTTTGAATTCAGGTTGAAGTAGCTAGCTGAGTAATGTTGATTGTGACAGAATGGAGACGACAAATTTTCTCTGTATTTGTTTACAATTTAAAATGATAATCAAAAATCAAAATAAACATACGGTGCCTGTTCAGATTATATGCACAAATATTTCCCTCGTTTACAAGAAAAACTGATGATGATCTGGTATTGGAAATTGGGATTGGTGTTGAAATTGGATTCCAGGGTCTTATCGTCTCTGAAAAAATATCCGTACAAGCATAACAAGGTTTTATAGTTAATGGGGTTAAAAGATCTACATTAGTAAAAAAAAACAAATATAAGTAATTTTGAATATCAAGATTAATAAAATATAAAAATATTTTAATGGGATCAATAAAATATGAATAATTTTAACGAATCATTATAAATTTGAATGAGATCAAAATTATTAATCACTATAAAATATATACATATTTTTTATAATTTCATAATTTCAGTGGGGTCAACTATCCCCACTGAGGATACTTTGGCTACGCCCAAGGAATTCCTGAGATCATCAAGTTCTCCTCAAATGAGGGCATCTAATGAAGCGAGTCAGTCCAAATAATTTGTTTTTTTTTTTTTTTTTTTAATTTGTAATTGTTAATTATTTGAAACTTCCCCTAATTATTTAATGTAATGGGCTCATGAAAGCTTCATGGGCTTTTGAGTGGGCCATTAACATAGTAGGCCCAAAACTATGCAGTAGTAGCAGTAGTGGGACGATAACTGAATGGGTTAATACCACATGCTATACACGTGCTCAGTCTTTCTATAATCTAAAGTAGGAAGAAACATTTAGATGAGAAAACAAAAATAGTAACATTAATTATTTATTTAATTTCTACAAAAATATAAGTAATTTATTGACCACTATCAAAAAAGAACATTTATCTCTTATTAAAGTTCAAAATTAAGCTTTACACTAACATGGAAATGAATTTAATGCAGTCATGAAGTAGTAGATAATAAAAAATCTATAACACAGATTACAGCCTTAATGACACATTAATTAATTAATTAATTAATTGTATATCCATACTGAGGTGCATCCAGCCTAGTTTGACCCACCCTCAAATTAACACTTTTGCTTGTTATGTTAATGGTGGTCTTTTCATATATATATATATAATAATAATAATAATAATAATAATAAATGAATTTAATGCAATTATACTATAGATAATAAAAAATCTGCAACACAGATTACAATCTTAATGACTGTCATTACATACAAGGTAATATTCTTGTGCAGTGACCTTACTTGATGAGCTATGGACTAGACAAATATAGTGCCAAATGGACCAATCAAGTTAGGTCCAAATGTGCTTAAAGGAAAAATAGAATAAAGAATATATATTATTATATACAATTTTGAGTTCAGACAACTGTAACGTTAAAGATTGTGAGAGAAAGTTGTGAGATTATGTTGTGAATTTATCATTACTCGTTTACTTATCCTTTGCAGTTGCACTCAATCCCACAAGACCCACTAAAATTACTAGTCTGAGCTTTACTTTCTCACTCACAAAATATTAATTGATCTTGGGACCTTAAAAAATCAGCCAACAAATAAGTTCCCCTCTCCTCTCCTTTTCTCTCATTGTAGAGAAGAATTTAGTCTTCAAATTAGATGGTGGTGGTTGATCGATCATAAATAGGATCGAAATCCAATGGCAGACGATAAGTACAATTTGAAGAATCCGGCTATGAAGAGAGTTTCACAGGAGGTTAAAGAGATGGAATCTAATCCATCAGATGATTTCATGAGCCTTCCATTCAAGGTTCGTATGACTATTTCGTATAAGTTTTATATATTTTCAGTAATTTTTTAAAATTTTCTTGGGTTTTGAAATAATTAACGAAGAGATCTATTTGTTCAGTTTCAGTGGCTTGTATGGATTACTTAATTTTGTTGTTTATTTCAAATATTTATAGATTTATTAAATAAATTTGGATTTTTGGAAATGTGTTTTTGTTGTTGTTTTGATTATTGTTGAATTGAAAAATTGGAGTATTTCATGCATAATTTATTTATGAAAAATGCTACGGACACCGACGCTTTGCACCGAATTTTTACATCGAACGACGTGTCCATTAAGTCAGACAAGTCATGTATCACGTTAACAAATATTCCGCGAATGAACGGCCGTCCATCAAATATGGATGGCCATTCATTTGAAATGGACTCTCGTCCTTATTACATGGACGGTCGTCCACCTAGAATGGACGCCCGTTCATGGTTTAAACTAAAAAAAATTGGCCTAAATTGTTTATGGATGGTCGTCCTCATAAGAGGACGGGCGTCCACATTGTAAAGTTTAAAAAAAAAAAAAAAAAATTAGGGACGCCCGTCCACTATTCAGTGGACGGGCGTCCCTCACTGCTTAAATGGACTAAGAATCTACTTAAATGGTCATTGCATAAACATGTTTGTTCAGTTTGGAATCTGCTTATGACCCATGTTATTTGGAATCTGCTTATGACCCACCTACTAAATGGACTATAGAATATGCACTGCAATTAATCAATTTCCATCTTTCTTCTAACCATTTTCATTAATTCTGCTGCAATTACATATCCAATCATGTTTATCCTATGTATATATAACATACATGGCAATAAAATTTGCAGCATGAACTTTTTAATACACATGAGACTGCCAGTGAGAATGTCTTGTAACAACTGAGCAATCCTCATATACAATTTTGAGCTACTTTTGAAAATCAAAAAGCTCAAAAATAATTGATCCAGTTGAGGCTGTGGACATAAGTTATGAACCATATGGAGCTGATGTTGCTACCTTCTGTGACCCAGAAGTGTCATGATTACTAGCAGGTTTGTTGGCCAATCGACGTTTGTAGCGTTTGAGAACAGATGCCAGATTCTCTTTTCCCTTTGGGAAAGCCACATCACCAGCAGCAGTGCCTGTTCGTCCCTTTCGACAAGATATAGCAGTCTTTATGTCCTTAATGATGTCTAGAAGCAGTAATGCTACGAACACTGAAATTTTACACTGAATTTTTGTACCGAAGGACATGGCAACCAGTCAGACGCGACCACGCTGGAGTCTTTCGTGAATGAACGACCGTCCAATATTTATGGACGCCCGCCTATATTAATGGACTCCCGTTCATATTGTATGGACAGGTGTCCATTTACTATAGACGTTAGATGGATGCCCGTCCAAAAAAATTTACTTAGAGCTCAATGTGGATGTAGTTTATTCCTTTAGGATAAACGAACCACAGTAAAAATCTTGGTTGTGTTCTTGCTTTTCGTTCTTTATTGTTTGTGTTGATTCTTGGGTGTATGTCGATTGTGTTTGATAGAGGAACAGATTAGGTTTGGGTTTGATTGATTCTTAACAAAACATGTTGCCCTCTACTGCAAAACCAAGAAGAGGGAAATGCACAACTGCAACGATGCTTCTAGATATCATTAAGGACGTAGAGATTGCTATATCTTGTCGAAAGGGACGAACATGCACTGCTGCTGGTGATGTGGCTTTCCCAAAGGGAAAAGAGAATCTGGCATATGTTCTCAGATGCTACAAACGTCGATTGGCCAACAAACCTGCTAGCAATCATGACACTTCTGGGTCACGGAAGGTGGCAACATTAGCTCCATATGGCTCATAACTTATGTCCACGGCCTTAACTGGATCAATGATTTTTGAGCTTCTTGATTTTCAAAAGTAGCTCAAAACTGTATATGAGGATTGCTCAGTTGTTACAAGACACTCTCACTGGCAGTCTCATGTGTATTAAAAAGTTCATGCTGCAAATTTTATCGCCATGTATGTTATATATACATAGGATAAACATGATTGGATATGTAATTGCAGCAGAATTAATGAAAATGGTTAGAAGAAAGATGGAAATTGATTAATTACAGTGCAGATTATGTAGTCCATTTAGTAGGTGGGTCATAAGCAGATTCCAAATAACGTGGGTCATAAGCAGATTCCAAACTGAACAAACATGTTTATGCAATGACCATTTAAGCAGATTCTTAGTCCATTTAAGCAGTGAGGGACGCCCGTCCACTGAATAGTGGACGGGCGTCCCTAATTTTTTTTTTTTTTTTTTTTTTAAACTTTACAATATGGATTCCCGTCCTCTTATGAGGACTACCGTCCATAAACAATTTAGGTCAATTTTTTTTAGTTTAAACCATAAACGGATGTCCATTCTAGGTGGACGACAATCCATATAATATGGACGGGAGTCCATTTCAAATGAACGGCCGTCCAATAACAATGGATGGTCCTCCATATTTGATGGACGACTGTTCATTCACCAAATATTTGTTAACGTGATACATGGTTTGTCTGATTCAGTGGACACGTTGTTCGATGTAAAAATTAGATGCAAAGTGTCGGTGTCCGTAGCATTTTTCTTAAAAATATGCGTAATTTGATTGGTGAAGTTTTCTTTTGAAAGGGAGTTTTCCCTTTCAATTTTGGTTGTTTTTGTGCTTTATGCAAGGTTTTGGTGTTGATAAGCTTATGGTTTTTGTTCACAGGAGAATATATTTGAATGGCAATTCGCCATCAGGGGTCCGCGTGATACTGAATTTGAAGGAGGAATCTATGATGAACGGTTTCAGTTGCCTGCTGAATATCCATTTAAGCCCCCATCATTTATGCTGTTGACTGTACGGATATTGGCCTCTTAAAAAGCATTGCTCCTCATCTCCTGGTTATTCTGTGCTAATTACCTGTTATATGCTTTTTGGTTTTCAGCCTAATGGGCGCTTTGAAACCCAGACTAAGATATGCTTAAGCATTTCAAATAACCACCCAAAGCACTGGCAACCATCATGAAGTGGTAAATTTTATTTTTCTTGGCTTTTTGTGGATGTGATTTTGAGTGGTCTTCTCGAAGATCCATTCTGTGTACAATATCATGAAGTTGGATCTATTGTCAAAGTTTTATATCTTTTGAGTATATATCTTTTGAAAAGCAGTATAAACAATTGAAAGCAGTTCAAGCAATAGTGTTTCCTTCTGCAACTATTTTGAATAAAGATATATCTGTGCTTCTTGTATCTTATACATCTTACATTTAAAGTAGCTTAGCAAATACCACTTTCTCTAAAGGCTTGTGAAGTTATGTAGCATTCATTTTATTAGCGGTGCTCATTTTCATGCAGTCAATCATTTAGCTTGATATATTCGGACTGTAGACCATTGTTAGCCTGGATAGAATTTTGTTTAAAAAACCATTGAATATTGCTGCTTCTTTAGAAACAATTCTTTGCAGATTGGTTAGATATCTGCCTCACATTTTTCAACTTGGCATATGCACACACACCTGTTTATTCTTAATTTTTGCTCTGGGCTAAAGAAATTGTCTTTTTGCAGTGCGTACTGCCCTTGTAGCACTAATTGCATTCATGCCTACCAACCCAAATGGTGCATGGGGATCACTAGATTATAAGAAGGAAGAGAGGTGTGTTTTGGCTATCAAATCTCGTGAAGCTGCCGAAAGATTTGGGACTCCTGAACGTCAGAAGCTCATTGATGAGGTATGTTTTAGCTAAATCTTTCTTGTGTGTTTTTAACATTATGCATGATTTGGTCTAATTAACTTTTGATGACAGATTCATGAATATATGTTAAGCAAGGCACCCCCTGTTCCTCAACTCAGCCCTCTACACTGCTCTGAAGAACACCCTAGCAACAGGGAGGGGGAGGCCTAAGAAAGTTCCCAAGATGCTGGGGGTATGCCCTCCCAGCAAGGGCTTCCAAATCCTGCTGTGGGTGAAAGGATTACTGGAGAAATTCAGGACGTTCCTGCCGATGCTAATCCCAGCCCGACAGTAGCTAGAGCATCACAAGAGGCTCCTGCCAATGCTAATCCCAGCCCTTCAGGAGTTAGAGCATCAGGAGAGATTTATGCTAGAGGCTCAAGTGATCATCTTCTGCCAGCCAAGGGCAGAGATGAGGGTTCAAAAACCTGTTGATGATCGCCAGTGGCCATGGTGCTGTCTTCATGGATGGATTATAGATATGCGAATGGTTTTAACAGGCTTGACTGTTTGAATTGGCATCAGTAGTTAAAAATGGGCTGAAATATTAATCACAATTTTCCATCGGATCGGTTAGTATTGTATATGAATATGATCCTTGATATATTCATCTTTATACATCCCAATGATTGTAAGTACTAAGTAATGATTATTATAATACAGTATGATTATTATCAACTCATTTTCATTTTTAATTTTAATCATTATTATATTACAGTATGAGTATCCTTTCTTATTTTGACTCCTTTATGGCACCGAAATTGTAATGTACTCAATTTCTAGTTTTTAAATAGTTGAAATTATTATGGAGAATTTTTTTTAAATTTAGTGATAAAAAAATTACCAAACTATTTAATATTATTTAAACTGAAAAAAACAAAGTTTCCGAATCAAATAATAAACATTTTCAGAAAATGTACCAAACAATTATTCTGTCTTAAAAATATTTTTTTTTAAATGTACTAAACAACTATTCAGTTTTTTATCTAACTTTAATATAATTTTCAGATATTTTATCAGGCACATTTTCAGATTCAAATCCAATTCGATTTGATTTAACTCAACTTAACTTAAAACACTTTTTTACATTAACATTTTTTAAAAAGGTGTAACAAACAAGTCTTAGTATTTGTTCACTAAATCATTGCTTTCACATTGGAAACAGTGGCGTGCCGTGTTGGCAGTAATAGAGAGTTGTGTAGAATTCAATGAATTTTGGGACGCCTTTGGAGAGAATGATAGAATTATTTCAGTTGGGGCCAAAGCTCTTGTTTGTGACTGGTTGCCTTTAAATTGAATGTCCCCACTTATTTTTCTTAGTTTACTTTGTGAAGACAATCTTTCATAAAATGACAGAGAAAAAGAAAAAAACTAAGGGTGCGTTTGGCTTATTATTTCTGTCTATATTTTCAATCTTATTCTCTAAATAATGTTTAGCATATTATTCCAGAAATATTATCCTATTTTTTTAATTACTTTTAGACCCCATAAGGTTATTAATTTCATTAAATACCCCCTGAAAAAAAGTTTAAAAATTAACAAAAACACCGTTGTGACCCATACTTGCCAGATTCTGGCAACCACCGTCGGTGGTAGTCAGAATCTGTCACAACTGTGAATGACTGACCGGAACTAGCTAGTAATTTACCGATCTGGCCGTCACAAAGAAATGGCCGTCAGTGACGGTCAACGACGACCAAATCTTGGCCATCGTTGACCGAAAACGACGGCCATATCTTTGGCCATCGCTAAAGGCCAAAGATGGCCTTCTTTGACCTTTTTCGGCCGTCGACGGCCACATATGGCCATAAATCTGGCCTTTTCTGGCCAGATCCGTGGTGAATCTGGCCGGAAAAGGCCATAGCGACGCCATACCAGCCAGATCTGGCCGGTATGTGTGGTTATGCAATTTTTCGGCAAGATTCCGACCGTGGTGGCCGGAATTTGGCACTGCAGGTAGTGAGGGTCTTTTTGTCATTTTACATATTTTTATATATTGGGGTATTTATTAAATTAGCAAACTTAGGGGGTTTTTTTTATAAATTTTTAAATTTTACCTCGTAATACTCCCATATTCAATTATCCAATAATATCCCCAAAATCCTATCCAAAATAATAAACCAAACGCACCCTAAACTATTTTTAAGGAAAGAAAAAATGTTATCTTTCATTCAAAAAAATGGCTAACCACCAAGTGTGGAACACATCCCGCCTACATTAATGTTTATAGTCGTGTTTTGATTCAATTACATATAATTTCCGTTTTTGTTTAATCATAACTACAAAATTGAAAATTCAAATTTCATTATTTTATTTAGTCTTGAAATCTTAATAAGTTTTCAATTAATAACGTGAACCACATTTGATATTTCTTTGTTTAATTTGTTAATATATATTTATATTTCAACATTTAGAAACCCTTCAATTACGTAGGGCTGAAAACAAATTCCTTCTTTTTATTCATACAAGATATATATTATTAAGATATGAATTGACATATGGTTCCCTTTTTTCTCTGTCTTTTAATAAAAGACGAGACTATTTACATTTTCGTAATTTAAACGATAAATTTGCAACATATGTCTTCTTTTTTCTTTTAATGAAAGACTTGACAACTAATCTTATCGTAAATTAAAGGATAAAAAGTTGTTGGCCATTCAATTTATTCCATTATTTGATTGAGATTTTTGTGACAAAAAAAAAAAAAAAAAAAGAAATTGCGATACTCCATGAGGAATTCATCACCTCTAAGTTTATGATCTGTCTTTATTGAGTTTGTCGAGATATATGTTAAAAATATTTAAAAGCCCTTCAAATATGTGATTAAGAAGAGATTTATTTTTCTATTAATACCATATTATATATATATATAATATAATATAATATATATATATATATTGACATTCTTTCTGCTCCTTTGTCTCATAAAAGACACGAAAACTAACATTTTCACAATTAAATAACAAAGATTAAGTGCTTGTCAAATTTTATTATTTATTTGTTTAACGATGCAACCAATTTACATATATTAAGGTTATATATGATTTTTATTTTTGTTTAATCATAACTACAAAATTGAAATCTCAAATCTAATTTTTTAGTCTTGAAATCTCAAAACTATTTTTTTATTTAGTCTTGAAATCTTAATGCTTTCAATTAATAGCTTGAATTGAACGCATTTGATTTTTCTTTGTTTAATTTGTCAATATATATTCGCATTTCAACATTTAAAAACTCTTCAATTACGTAGGTTGAAAACAAATTCCTTCTTTTGTCCATTCAAGGTATATATTGTATGATATGTATTGACATTGGTTCCTTTTTTTCTCTATATTTTAATAAAAGACTTGATAGTTAGACTTGACAACTCATTTTCATAATTTAAACGAAAAATTTGCAAGATACGTCTTTTATATATATCTGATGTATGAAAGACTTGACAACTAATCTTATCACAAATTAAAGGATGAAAAGTTTTTGACCATTCAATTTATTCCATTATTTAATAGAGATTTTTGTGACCAAAAGAAGGAAATTTGCAAGTGACCCATAAGGAATCCATCAGCTTGAGGTTTATGATATTTTTTTATCTACTTTGTCGAGATATATGTTGACATTTCAACATTTAGAAGCCCTATATATATATAAGATACAAAAACTAATATTTTCACAAATTAAACAACAAAGATTAAGTGGTTGTCAAATTCTATTCTTTACTTGAATTAGACGATGCAACCAGCTTATATATATTAAGGTTATATATGATTTTTATTTTTTTTTTAATCATAACTACAAAATTAAAATCTCAAACCTAATTTTTTATTTAGTCTTGAAATCTTAATGAGCTTTCAATTAATAGCGTGAATTGAACGACATTTGATTTTTCTTTGTTTAATTTGTCAATATATATTCACTTTTCAACATTTAGAAACCCTTCAATTACGTAGGGGTGAAAACAGATTTCTTCTTTGTCTATTTAAAGTATATATTATTAAGATATGTATTGACATATGATTCCTTTTTTTCTTTGTCTTTTAATAAAAGACTTGACCATTATCATTTTTGTAATTTAAATGACAAATTTGCAAGATATGTCATTTTTTTCCTTTTAAACGAAAGACTTGACAACTAATTTTATCACAAATTTAAGGATGAAAAGTTTTTGGCCATTCAATTTGTTCCATTATTTGATTGAGATTTTTGTGACCAAAAGAAGGAAATTTGCGAGTGACCCATAAGGAATCCATCACCTCGAGGTTTATGATATTTCTTTATCTAGTTTGTTGAGATATATGTTGACATTTCAACATTTGGAAGCCCTTCAAATATGTAGGTTAAAAATATATTACTTCTTTTGTCCATTCAAGATATATATGGTTAATATATGTATTGACATATGATTCCCTTTTTTCTCTGTCTTTTAATAAAAGACTTGATTATTTACATTTTTGTAATTTAAATGATAAATTTACAAGATATGATATTTCTTTATTTAATTTGTCAATATATATTTTCGTCTAATCAGACTAATATATATATATGAAAGACTTGACTACTAGTGTTATCACAAATTGAAGGATAAAAAGTTGTTGGCCATTTAATTTATTCCATTGTTTGATTGAGATTCCATTCAATTTAAATCAAAAACAATAATTCCTAGTGACACAACTAGCACTGGCCTAGGGCAGGCCAGTGCCCTCCTAGATATTTTCAAAAACATCTATAGGGTTTTTTAAATTTGCAATTACACCTTAATCAATTTATATAATTTCTAAATTACTAAATCAATCGTCAAACTCAAAAACAAGATAAATGCAATACACAAATTACAAATAAATAAGGTCCATGTTATACAAATTTAATTGAATTCGTTATATGTAAAAAAATTATAAATTTTATATTTTTCCCTAAACTTGATTATTATGTTTTTAATGTAGGAAAAATATCTTATTACCATAGAAATCCTCCTCTAATTGATTTGTTTAATTTAGATTACTTTTAGAAAATTATTATTTTATATGGGTTTCATTATGTTAATTTGATTTCTTTTATTTAATGTGATTAACTATACTGAAATAATCACTTTTAAATAATCAAATTTCATTGAGGATAATTTTTGTTGTATTGAATAAAGTTATTAAAATTTCAATATTTATTATTATGTTTAAAAATTTATTTAAATTTCAATGATTGTTAAATTCCAATATTTAATTAACTAAGATTGACATGACCAAAAATATGAAAGTAGTTGACTGACTTTGTAAATTTTAGGTAAACTAAATAAACACAAATAGTTGGCACTTGAATTTACTTCATCAATTGATTAAGAACATAAGCATAATAATTTACTTTTATAGAGACCTCTACAGTTA